GGGCTACCGAAGCGGGGGTGCCATCCCCTCTGCAGAGGATCAAAATTGTGATGGCATGTCTTCGGATCATCCTCAGGGATGTTTCCCAGACCGTCGCCAATTGCCCATTGTGCAGCTTTAGTGCTACGTAAATAAAGTACCTACCTACCTTAAATGTAATTTATAAGATTTCGAAAGTGTTTTTCTCTCGATGAATTTTAAGGATTTTTCCAGTTTTTGAAAAAAATATACACATAATCAGTCTTTTAAATGTTGGTAAAATTTACCTAAATTCTCTGGCGTCTAAGCTTTAGTTTCTGATTGTCTATCTTTGTATTAAACAAGGTTTCTAAGCTTGTTGTAAAAATTTATTCCAGTGGTAGCTATGTTTTTGTTTTACTGTATTATTTTTTATTCATTTGAACTTATTTTCCACACCAATACATATAAATATTTTAAAAGCTCATACGCAACGCCATGTTGTCTCTTTCGAGTTTATTAAACTAAGAATCACAATTAATAAAAATATGAATATATTTATTCGCTGTTCGGAACAAGTTGGCATCTCTGTGCATATAAATAAAACTATTTTTGTGTGTTCTATAATGCATTAATTTCTTCAAACCATTTTAATAACGATAATGAAATAAAAATGTACTCGAATTATGTGTTTCTAATAATCTTGGCTTCGTCGGACACCGGTGACCCCCGTGGAGCTACGAACAAACTAAGTGCCTGTCACCGGCGACCCCCGCGGCATTCAGCGTGTTAAATGTCTAACACTCTATAAAATATTTTGCAAAAAGCGCAGTAGTTGGCAGTCCTGTATTAAATATTTAGCAAAATGCGTAGTTGTTACTAGCCCTGTATATGAAAAAATCAAAGTTTTAGTGTAATGTTGACAAGTCCAATAAGATTTCTTTTTCACGTCAAAGAAATGAGCGCTGAATTATCAAACGAGTGAACAAAATGTTAAACATAAACAATTAAACCTCATACATACGTTTTGTAATCGAGGATCGATTATCTATTATTTTTTTTCTAAGCTTATTATTTTATTTTTATGCCTTTATTTTACGAGTTAACATTAATATGAGCAAATTCATAGTCATGTAAACTCATTATTAAAATACAGAGAGGCCAACCACTCCGGGTTCGACAAAATATTTTATAACATGGCAGATTTTTGGTTAATTTTGCCAACTGCTTACAGGGTTCAGCGCAGCTTAGCTGTGACACAGTAGCGTTTTAGATAAGCTTTTGAATTAAATAATTAATGGTGAGTTAAGAATCCTATAAATCGAATTCACTATACCAAGAATCATACATTGAAAGACTACCACTCGAAAATATTTAAACGCTGTCTGGAGCAATTTGGCATCTCTGATAATAGAGATGGCAGAGCTGACTTCACTTACCTCTCAACTCGCTATTTGTCAGTGCTTAAATCAGTTTAGAAAACAATAGAATAGGAATACAAATCTACAATAAGAATAACTTACTACAGTTGATTAACTTATTTATTTCAATTAATATAATTCAGCCTCAGGCTTGGACATCTCTTTTGCCGACTAACATTAAAAAAAATAATTAAAAGAAACTTAGAACTTCAACCGCTAAATTTGATACGAACAAAATTTGCATTTTTTTTAGTCGTATGCCTGTTTAGGCAGTGAAGGTGCGATTGTTCCTGTTTTTCAGTGGCGTCAACTCAACACCTCCTAGAAAAGAGTAGGCCTCTGCACGGGCTACCATAAATATCCTTTAGTAGTCCAAACGTAATGACATATTTTGTATTTTCNGAAATTAATATGATTTTTTAAAAGGCAAGCGAAGCTTAAGTGTTCCTTCACTGGTTAGTTTACCCTATATCAAGGTTTCTTCGGGCGATTACAAAACGAAAAAAAAGGAGGTCCTTAATAAAATTCAAAATTTTATTAATAGAGATAAAAATCAAAAACTTTTTATAACACATCTTTTTTAGTTCATTATTGAATGATAATACATAGAATGATTTTGATTTAAATATGAATAATTTGAAATACAAGTTATTTTATTTTATTTTATAACCATCGTTGGAACAGCCGACCAGCAAGTTTTGGGTTTACGACTACTAATGTTCAACTCCGTAGCCTTGTAATTATTAACCCAATCAACACCCAATCAACATTAATAACCAAAACAACATATTAAATAGGAACAGCGTTCAAAAACTTGGTCTACATGATTGCTGATTTATTATTGTAAATGAAGCAATTTTTTTTTAAACTTTAAAAACTAAGTTTTTTAGTTTAAAACGCAATTTTTAATGTTTGATATCGTGATTTCACAACTTAATTAATAGTTAGCTACATAATTAGCATATTTGAGGTCAAACACTTGTGACATTTAGTACTTGAAATTCTACGTATTAGGCGAAAAGCTGTTGAGGCGATATATTTCTTTTGTTTAATTTGACTTCATCTGATGCTTTATATTTTGTTTTGTACTACTTTAGATGGAGCCTTTCGCAGCAGAAGCTTAGGAAAAGAATTTATCTTCCAGTTAGCACCATGTGGATTTTTAGCGGTTGAAAACTTTTTCTTTATGAGGTAAACTTCTTTTATCTTCATCCTTAACTTCATCATCATTATCTTCATCCAGTACCCCCGGAGGTATTGATTTGTTATGGGAACTTGAAGAACTTTGCGAGCACGACAGATTTATCGTGCTCCAGTCACAATTTTGTACACGATGAGTCTTCGGCCGGCTGGGATCGAACTCACGGTCTCTTAGGCATGGGCCCAACGATCTACCAACCAGGCTATCCCGTCTCATTAAACACTAGTAAAATATACAATAGGTCCACCTCTAAGCAGTTTTTCTGATCTAGGCTCGGAAAACGGAATTCTGCAAAATTTATAAACAGTAGCACTATTTTGAGAAGAAAATTGTTTTAATTGTTTTATTTCATTAGGAATAAGGACGACTGGAAAAATATTTTAAAACTTAAAAAAAAGGAAATATTAAATATATATGGCGATCCACCAGGTTTAATTTAAGAAATTTCGCAAAAAAAACGTGGCGCCGTTTCTTAATTAGACAAGTTCGCAGCAACCTCACTGCTTGCTGATAGTAAAGACACAACACAAACTGAACTCGAATTCACGATGAATGGGATAGGGGCTCTTCGCTGGCCAGGTGACCAGATAAATTGCACTATTAGGACAAGGACTTATTATAAAGATTTTGTAGTACTGCGCTTTGGCGTTATTGTTGAACAGAAAATAATCATTTGGCTATTAATTTTTAATAACTTTTTTTTAATTAAATGACACATAAAATTAGATATGAAAAAAGCTGAATATTTAGAATATATTAGGTTTACCGGAAAATTCAGTCTGAAAAAGTATACGACGCCATATTATGCAATGATGTAAAAGGTATCTTAAAAAGAGAAAAAAGTGGTAGGGGCTTTATGAAATTTGGTAGGTAGGAGTTTAAATCAAATGCATCGATTACGTGTGTCCCTTACTTTTGTTGCATGCATGCACATGCTTTTTTGCGCTATATGTGTTGTAAATCTTTAATTTAGAACATTACCATTGGAAAAAATATCTAACCACTTTCTATTATAAAAGAATTTTTTGCATTGCTGTAAAATGATGACAATGTCATTCAGATTTTCTAGAAGCTTTTGCATAGGACAATTTTGAAAGTTTTGGATTTCATGACGATTCCATTATCACCCACATAAAAGTCAGTGATACTGTTAAAATCTTTTCTGTCCACAGGAAGGTCATAGGTTATAAAATAGATACTTGTTGTTGTTGTTGTTCATTTACGTCGCACTAGAGCTACACAATGGGCTATTGGCGACGGTCTGGGAAACATCCCTGAGGATGATCCGAAGACATGCCATCACAATTTTGATCCTCTGCAGAGGGGATGGCACCCCCGCTTCGGTAGCCCAACGACCTGCACGCGAAGTCGAGCACTTTACGGTAGCACAGTTTAACGAGGACCAATACCGCACACCCTCGGTCCCTACGCAGACTGATCCAAGTGGGTCACCCACTCGCACACTGACCGCAGCCAGTGATGCTTGACTTCGGTGATCTGATGGGAACCGTGTCTTAACGATCAGTCCACTGCGGGACTAAAATAGATACTATCGGCATAAGGATGCTTCTTTGGGCCAAACCTGTGGTTATTTTTCTAACTGTTAAATTTATACTTTTAAAATTAACTTGAAAGGTTCTATTAAATAAGTAGGCCTATATGGAGACCTAATATTAAATAATTATGAATTAACTACCACTTTAAAAAACAGACCTGCCATCTACTAAACTTGTTGTAACATATCGTATAGCAAACCAGCCCAGTGTTGCCAGAACTTAAGATTAAAAAGTAGCGAATGTCAACTTCAAAAGTAGCGGATTCGAAAATTTTGTAGCCCAAGAAAACTACGTTATATATATATATATATATTCTACTAAATTAAAAAAATAAGTTAAATTTCAATGCTGTAGTTGTAGTTCAT